GTAAGGAAGCTAGTCTTAAGAATGGTGTGAGATGACCCATCCCCGCGCTTGGGAACATGACAACATGAACAGAAGATTCATCGGACATTGTAGCTAATTGGTTACTGTTGTGACTTGTGAGGAACGTTGGATTTGATAATATATTGAGAGAGGGGTAGGTAGGTATGTGATGGCAATATATTATATTTGAGGATTCATTTTTATAATACCCACATTTCTCAACTAAAATTACACCCAAAACAATCACTTTTTCTGAATTCATTGCTCATACTTACACTTACTGCTCATTCTAGGGGTGGTTAAATGAATTGATTGGATATTGGTAGAGATTGAATTAATAATATACTGTTTAAAATAATTCATTAACGATTAACTAAAACTTTCTTAAAAATATTCAATTCAATCTATCCATTAAGAGTAAAATCTATCTAAAAAATTAATTTAAATTAATTTATTTATTTTTTTAAAATATACTTTATATTTTCGAATAAATTTGGTTTTTTAATATTTTCGAAAAAACTCAATATTTAATTTTTTGAAAAAAGTCGAATTTTTGATTTTCTAAAAAAACTCAATTTTTACATATTTCCGAATTTTTTCGTTTTTTTCAAAAAACTCGATTTTTCGATTTCCCAAAAAAGCTCTTTTTTTTTTAATTTTCGGAAAAAACTCGGGTTTTTTTTTGTATTTTCGAAAAAACTCAAATTTGATATTTTGAAAAAAGTCTTCGATTTTCCAAAAAAAACTCAATTTCTACATATTTCCGAATTTTTCCAAAAAACTCGATTTTTCGATTTTCCAAAAAAAGCTCATTTTTTTTAATTTTCCAAAAAAACTCGATTTTCCAAAAAATATTCGATTTTTTATTTTTTCAAATATAAAACTCAATTTTCTGAAGAAAAAAAACTCGATTTTTCGATTATCCTAAAAAACTCGACTTTTTGATTTTCCGAAAAAACTCGATATTTCGATTTTCCGTAAAAAAAACTCAATTATTAGGAAAAATTCGATTTTTTTGATTTTTCAAAAAACTCGGTTTTAGAGAAAAAAAACTCGATTTTCAATTTTTCGATTTTCTGAAGAAAAAAACTCGATTTTCCGAGAAAATTTGATTTTTTGAATTTTCAAAAAAATTTCATTCATCAATTTTCCGAAAAAACTCATTTTTTCCCCTAAAAAACTCGATTTTTCAAAAAAGCTCGATTATTCAATTTTCCCAAAAAAAAAGTCATTTTTTCAATTTCCCCAAATAGTTAATTTTTCGATTTTCCAAAAAACTCGTTTTTTCGATTTTTTTTGAAAAAACTTGATTTTTCGATTTTACGAAAAAACTCGATTTTTCAATTTTCTAAAAAAACTTATTTCAAACTACCTACCTCGTTCGTTTCAAACTGATCCGTGATTGATATATTCAGATTTTTTTAGGTCAATTTTAAGAACACTTTTGGTATTTTTCTCAAAACTTTATAATATTAAAAAATGACATTTTGCACTTTTCGGATTTTGAAATTCGGATGCAATATAAATCAAAAAAATCAAATTCATTTGAAACACGTTCAATGCAAAAATATACATATCAGAATATTGATCTCTTAAAACACCATTTTAACCTATGATTTTGATATTGATGGTGTTATTTGTTGTAATAAGCAATAAGAGTTTGATTATAGGTTGATGGTGTTTTCACAACTATTAATTTTATACTGTATTAGTAGATAGTGTTTTACAAACTATTGCGCAGATGATTAGTTTTGTTAATTTGTTTTTCAATTGTTGTATTAGATGAATGTGACTTCTTTTTTTTAACATAAAGATGAATGTGACTTCTGTTAGTTTATTTTCGAAAAAAATTAGGGAAGGGTAAAATTATTGTTAATTAAATAGAAACTAAGAATTTGTAGCACCGACATCTCAGAAAAAATATGTGTCTTTATTATGTTGAATTTATTATTATTTTTCAAATTTTTATCAGTGTCAACGTGTCAGTTTTGATGTCCGGGCTTCATAGCTAATGACTACTTTTACAATTGTTTTATATAGAAATTGGATTCTCTCCCTTGATTTTATAAAATTCAACCCTTACCACTAAGTTGACACTTTCTTAGTAAGAAGATTCAAAACTCTATTTGAATGGTACACATAATATCGTGGAGTTAGAAACAACTCTAAATCAAAATACGAAGGATGGACTTACTACTATCACTACTAATGTTTTATTCCTAATCATGGGTGCTAAATGGATTTTCTATGCTGAAATATTACAAAGCAGGAGAGAATTGGTGAATAGCATTACTTAGTACCTGACATTTTGTTTTACCAGCACAATTGATGATTGAATCCTGATCATAATTTTATGTATAAAAAAAGGAGGTAGGGGAGGGGGGCCTTATAGGTTGTTCTTTTTATGTTTGCTGAAAGAACTGTCATGTATTGACTTCATGAAGTAGATTCAAAACTCTATATGAATGAAATATTAGAGTATAGAAAGTACAAATAAGCTAAGTTATTATATATTAACTGGTCAACTTTGTACATAACAGAGTGTGTTGAGTCGACACATTTGGTTGCTCATTTAGGTATTTCAGTTATAAGTCAGTTTGGACAGGTTGTCCTGCGCAGCTACTATATAAAGCTATATTTTATCTCAGTAGATAATTTTAAAACTCTTCATAATTCTCCTCTCTTAAACTATCTTAGTCTTCTAAAGTTGACTTGGCATCTTAAACTCTATTACGAAATAATCTGAATGTTAAAATTTAATCTGTTTTGTGATTTTTTGTTATTTTAGTATAAATACCCATATGAACAAGCTTATAAATATTGTTGTTCTGTTATGACTAGATACTGTTGGGAAAGATGACACTTAAACACCTAATATAAGGTAAGCAGATAATTAATTATCCACGGATCAAACTTTTCCCACTATAATAATAACAATAACAATGGAACATACAAAAAATTCTTCTGTTTAAATGAATAATAATACAAACTGATTATTACAACTCTCACCAACAAATATGGTAGATAACCTCTCTTTTGGATTTGTTTCTCAAAAGGGTTTTCACTTTTATGATGTTTATAGAGATGAAATGAAACAACAGAAACTTATATAGCCAAACCATGCAACAAATTGATTTCTATAATGTAAAAAGAAAATTTATCTTTCATAAGTTCACCAAGGAATACTCGCATACTTTCAATTCTATTTTCTATAAATGTTAATTTTTCTCCTTCTTTCTCTCTCTCCATATAAAAAGTAAAACCCATTAGTCTCCCCATTCCGATTTAGGTGGAGGGATCCATCAATCCAGTAGCTCTCTTGTAGAACACGTACCTGTCCCTGGGTAAGGACTTGGTCATCATATCTGAGCAATTATCATCAGTATGGATTTTCTCAAGCTGGAGTTGCTTGGAATCCAACATATCAAGTATCCAGTGATATCTCACATCAATATTCTTTGACCTCGAGTGAAAGCTCGAATTCTTGCTCAACTAGATGGCGCTCTGATTATCACAATGCACGACATACTTTTGTTGTTCTTGTCCTAATTCATGCAAGAACCGCTTCATCCATAACATTTCCTTGCAAGCTTCTGTTGTTACAATGAACTCTGTCTCTGTGGTAGACAAAGCAACACACTTTTGTAGCTTCGACTGCCATAATACAACTCCCCTCGAAAATGTAATCAAGAATCCAGAAGTTGATTTCCTAGAATCAATATCTCCCTCTGTATCTGCATATGTGTAGTCAATTAGCTCATGTTTTCTACTTACAAAGCACAAACTCATTTTGGAAGTTCCTCTGAGATATCACAAGATCCACTTTACAACATTCCAATGCTCCTTTCTTGGATTCGCCAAGAATATACTAACAACACCAACTGCATGTGTTATATATGATTGTGTACATACCGTTGCATACATTAAGCTTCCAACAACTGAGGCATATGGAACCTTGTTCATCTCTCACTTTTCTATTTCACTTGTCGGACTCTGCTTTGAACTAAGACAAAAGTGACTAGCAAATGGAGTAGCAACTGGCTTTACGATTTCCATGTGAAAACACTCTAACACCTTCTCGATATATTTTGTGACAGCCACAACTTGTGTTCCTTCCGACCATTGCGGATGGACATACCAAGAATATGTTTTACTGGTCCCAAGTCTTTCATAGCAAAATACTTCTTCATTTCAGCCTTCAACTTGCTGATCTTCTCACTATTTTGTCCTAAAATCAACATATCATCAACATACAAGAGTAATATGATGAACTCACCATCATCAAATCTCTTCAAAAACACACAATGATCATAATTAGTCCTTCGATATCCATGATCAATCATGAATGAAACAAACTTCTTGCACCATTGATGTGGTTCATGCTTAAGCCCGTATAAACTCTTTTTCAGCTGACATACCAAGTTTCTTTGCCTTTGACTGTGAATCCCTCTGGATACTCCATGTAAATTTCTTCTTCAAAATTACCATGAAGAAATGAAGTATTCACATCTATTTGTTCCACATCTAGATCCAAACTTGCAGCCAAACAAAGCACAACCTGAACAGATGACATCTTGATCACGGGTGAAAAGTTTCTTCAAAATCAATGCCTTTCTTTTGACTAAAGCCTTTCACAACTAATCTAGCCTTGTATCTAGGTCGTGAGTTATTCTCCTTGGTTTTAACTTGTACACCCATTTATTTTTTATTGCTCTTTTACCTTCCGGTAAAACTACCAACTTATATGTCAGGTTCTCATGCAAGGATTACATTTCTTCATGCATGGCTTTCAACCACTCTTCTTTATGGTTATCCATCATAACTTCTTCATAAGACTCTGGTTCTCCCTCGTCGGTGAGTAACACAAATTCCGTTGCAAGATATTTAGTTTACGGTTTAGGTATCCTAAACGACCTTCTTACTTATGGAACTTGTTCTTCATCCTCATAGTCTCCAACCATATCTTCATTATCACTGTCTCTTTTATTACCATTTGTTACTTATTCATTTGGACCATTATTAATTGGAGGTTCATTTTCTGCATCTCCAATATCTTCTATTTCATCTCCCCTGTAATTATCTAGAGGAGGAATTGGATCCAAGTTGATCTGATGTTCTCTAGAAATAACAGGCTTGACTCCCTTTTGAACATCTTCAATATTCTAGTCTTCAAAGAAGACAACATATTTGCTTTTAATGATATTCTTCTCTACATGATCCCATAACCTATACCCAAACTCTTCATTTCCATATCCCAAGAAGATGCACTCCTTCGACTTTGAGTCGAGTTTTGATCTCTCATATTTTGGAACATGAATAAACTCTCTACAACCAAACATCTTCAAGTGATTGTAGGATACATATTTACCTATCCAAAATCTATTTGGAACATCACCATTCAATGGAGCTGAAGGGGATAAGTTGATTAAATCAACTGCAGTCATCAGAGCCACACCACAAAAACTCTTTGGTAACTTGGTATTAGATAACATTGTTCTTACTCTTTCAACAACAGTTCTATTCATTCTCTCATCTACTCCTATGTGTTGAGGTGTCTTCAGAATAAATATTTCATGCTGGATTCCATTACTCATACAGTAACATTTGAAATCTCCAATAAATTCTCCTTCATTGTCAGTACGAACACATTTTTAATTCTTTCCAGTTTCTCGCTCAACGCTAGCGTGAAACTGTTTGAATGCTACAAATACCTAGTCTTTTTTCTTGAGGGCATACACCCAAACCTTTCTGGAGTGGTCATCAATAAAGGTAACAAAATACCTTACACATCCAAGAGTATTAGTGGTCATTGGACCACAAACATCAGAATGTACCAAATACAAAACATGTGGTCTTCTACACGGGCCTTATATTGAAATGAAGCTCTATGTTGCTTTCCAGCCAAACAATGTGTGCATGGCTTAAGAGACATTTTCAATCCTTTCATATCTGCTAAAATACCTCTTCTGGCTAGAATTTGAAGTCCTTTCTCACTCATATGTCTGATCCATTTATGCCATAGCTTGACTAAGGAATCTTCTCTGAGAGCATTAACGCACCCATTATTGACTTTGGCTTCTATCACATAAAGAGTGCTTACTTTCTTGCCTCAGGCTACTACTGTAATACCCCAAATTTGTCCTACCCTCTCACTTTTATTTGGCTTACGCATCTCGCATTCTTCTCATATACGTAGCCCCCGTTAGGTCATTTTGCACGTCATGCATCATTGGTCAATAATTTGGCATGGGATTGAGGGTGTTGAGGAATTAGGGTTTATTTGTGCTTTTATGCTCTCATCTTCATGCAAGCTTGGATCAACATGGTTCTTCAAAAGATAAAACCATCTTTTCAAGTTATTTCAGTGAGAAAACAAATTAGGGTTTACTTCGAAAAAATTTCACTATGCAATACAAGGCAATTTACAAGCCTTCATTCTGAAAACTTTACATCAGACATGGAAGTCCTTATGGGTTATGGATTGAGATGCCCTCTCTTCGTGTTGTAATCACCAAGTCGGGTTAGGGTTTATTTCCCAATAGAATGATCAGTTAAGTTATTCTAGGGAAGAGGTCTTGTGTGATCCATATGATATTCTTTGTGGGGCAAGATGCGTTGGTTTCATAGTTTCATTCAAATGGATGCAAGAATATTAAGGCAAGGACGACTTCTGATCATTGTCTTCACGAAATGTTCGAATTTCATGTCATGGTTTCTATTCAAAGTTGTTTGCAAGAATATGAAGGAAAGAATGAAATTTGGAAATTGAATTAAAGGAGGGAAACAATGTTTCATCCAATGTTCTTGAACCAATTCATTTTGAGATTTCCAATGTGTAATTACAAGTGAATTCAAGTGCATTACAAGAGGGAAAAAGAGAGAAAAACTCACCACAGAAAAAGCTCTCAGAAATTCTCAAAAGTTCTCTCTTCGCTCTTTTTGAATTCTCCCTAATTTCTTCATCAGTTCACCATTCTTCATCACTTTAGAGAATCACTGCAATTTCGGAAAATCTCCACTACTCAGTAATCATCTTCTCCACCATTCATTAATGAGGATACCTCTCAACTTTCTTTGCACTCTTCCTCTGAGTTCTCTCTGCAACAACCTAGCGACACTTGTGCTTCTCCCATCTTCAATCACTAGTTATGTACTTCTACAATCCACGGTTCCATCTGCAACCTCATAACAGAACCTTCATCATCTTCAAGCTTCATCTTCACACGGTTTTTTGCATAAACATCAACAACCACTAAACGCACAATATCACGGCGTAAATCAACCGCAACACACAAATAATGAGAATTCATAAGTGAAGAAGAAGTCGGAAAATAGCGAAAATCTGAGAAGTATTTGAATATTAAACACATACCTAATTCGTTAATTTTCCGTCACTGCTATCGAAGACGTGTCAGATCAGTCTCCGGTAGGTAATCAACTCTTCTTTCTTCATCGCTCTTCTTTTAGTGTATGGTTCCTACAAGTTTGCTTGCGTTCGTTTGAATTTGCGAGCGATTGAGGGGAAGATGGTGAGCATTTAGCTCCAACAGAAGCGAGTTTAGAATCAGAAGAGGCGAGGCCAAATCAGAAGTGAGATGATAAGCGAAGATGTCATCGGAGAAGAAAACACCGCCGTTCTGTGAAAGAGAAGAGGGGTGTCCTCATGAGCACGAAACGTCACCCCTAATTTGTAACCCTAATCTAAACTTTTTTTTTTAATTTTTGTTGAGTTTTTTTAATATTTTCTGATAATGATATATAATTAAAAAAAATCTAGAATAATAGATAAACTATTTTTTTGTGCTACACAATTGGTGGTGGACGGGGCCATATCTCTCCCTTGGACCTATTAGTTTTTTTGGATCCCATAATGGTAGCCAAAAGGGTGCTGCATTCTATGTGTCGGGCCTGTGCTTGAATCTTGTCTTGAGCCCATTTCATTTTTTGGAAAAGCCTGATAATAAGAACAAAAATAAAACAGCATTAGACCCTGCTAACAGGTCAGCGCCCAGATCTGCTGGATCACACTCCCTGGACTGAAATTAGCACCCCATGAGTTCACTAATTCTTCATTAGAATTGGGACTTTTTTGTTAATTTTGCCAATAAAATACACGCTAAAAATAATATAAAAAAATTAATAAAGAAATAGTAGAATATATTAGAAATTTCTTAGGAATTAATTCTTTAATTTTTTTGGAATTTTCCTTACATAGAAAACTAATAAATAAGAAAATACTTTTTCTTTCTTGTTTTCATCCGTATTTTCATGCCGCTTTGCCATGCTATTTTTGACGCGTTTGTTAATTGTGCAAGGTACACTTTTGTGCTTTCGATCATGTAACATAACAGGTAGTTAGGTGATCGAAGCATACTGCTTATGCTCGCTTGCGATGTGACATGCCTTATTTCTCATCGTCCTGAGAAATTCATATTATATTATATGTGGTCCAGATACATGTGATGTTTTATGAGCTTTGTACATGAACTTCTGATTGCGTGTTACATTCGCAACACGCGTTTGCCTTTATCTTAGTTGGATATCATTTCTTACTTTGTTTGTTTCTTGGTGAAGCTTGCTCGACGTGTACTCTCTGCTTCTCCATTACTTTCGCCTGCTCTTAATGATTTGCTTGCTTTTGGTAGTCGCTGCTACTACCTTCGTACTTCTTCACACTTTACTGCATTTCTTTACTGCTTTTTCTAGAGATCATGAGAAGTAGGGCTTTACTGCTTTCTGATGCCATGAGAAGTAGGAATAGAGATGTATGACAGAGGTCTTTGTTGCTGATCATGTCAGGAACCCCTCTGGTTTATTTAAAGATCCGTTTAGGGAAATTACACATTGTGTGCATTCTGTTTGCTACTTGTGTGTGGTCTATTTAAAACCCTACCTTTGAGTAGGTATTCTACAGGTGTGTTTATATTTATGCCCGCACTATTACTCATCCCTTATTGAATTCCTCAAAAGGAGGCGAGCAGGGAGGGTTAGCAATCAACCCCCACAATTTCATTTGTGTCATCCTTAGCTCGTGACGCACCACGAAGCTTCGGAGTTGTGCCTGCTCTTACGTATCGAGTCGTCAAGTGGGGAAGGGTTCCACAATCAAACCCCCACGCTTTGTCAAGAGTTCGCATTGGCCAGTGTTGACACTCCGTGATCATTCATATCGTCTTCTGCCGTCTACCTCGATCTCCTATATCTTGGTTAGGTGTTCAGTCGCTTTGGACATCACATTTTTTCTTTTTCATCTCACTCCCGCTTGTTTGTATCGGGTGATATGCTCCCCTTGGCTAAAGCATTTCGATTCTTTTCTTTACCACTTTATGTGTGTGCTCTTCTGAGCTTTCTTGTTTTATCCTTGTACACACCATGTTCCCTTAGGATACGCTTGTTCCTTTCGGATACAAGTTAGACCTTAGGTTGCAAACCATGCATGCTAACATTAGGTAGAAATTTTCCTTTCATCCTTAACATAGGGCTACCATTGTATGATAACATTAGGTTAGAAATAGGCTAGTCTTCCTTAGACTCTTTTATTCTCTTTTTGCATCCTTGCATTCAAAACTAAAAATTTCTTTTTAACAAATCATAAAACATGCTAATCTAACTTAAACCCTTTCCAAGGTTACAAAACACAAACCAATCAAATGTGGCATCTTACCTCGAGGGCGTAACTCAAAACCATCTTCAGTAAGGACATGATTAATTTACTTATATGCCAACACATAAGTCTCCAAAGGTCGAGCTGCGGCAGAAGGCAGAATTAACACCGTCTATAAAAAACACAAAACAAACAAAAACTTGTGAGCTGAACTACAGTAGCTCTGATTCCTCAAAAAAGATACATAGGCATTGGGGTAGGTCCCAAGCGAGTACAACTTTATTTTCCCTACATTCTTTTCTCCCTCCTTTTGCATGCATTCTCCATTTAGTAGTAGTAAACAGTAAGTATAGTTTAAACATACCCATAAGATTATAACAACAAGAGTGGATACCGTAGAGTACTACAGGCGTGTGGGGTGCTAATACCTTCCCCTCGTGTAACAAACTCCCTTACCCGATCTCTTGGTTGCAAGATCGTGACTTATCCCTTCTTAGGTTTTCTAGATATTTACCTTTCCCTTCATGTGGGATAAAATAAGTTCAATGGTGACTTTATTGTTTGATGATTTTCAGCCGGTTGTTTCAGTTGACGACTTCACTGGGGAGGGGTCGACTAAATGCTGGTCCATCCCAGAGTCGCTGCTATCTCTTGTTTCCTTTCTTTGGGTGTTTATTTTTATGCTTTCAGTTTATTCATTCATACGTGATTACCTGAGCATATGTATGCATTGCATCTTACTGTTTTCCATATACTACTGTTGTACTGGATCTGTTCTTGTTAGGTGGGTGTTACAAGAGATAAAAGGCCCAATAACCAGGCCAACTGACAACCATAGGAACCATAGGAATAGAGTGGAACGTGAATGGCTAGTTGACGTAGGTTTCACTATTGCTGCCATGTCGTCCATGCTCAGACGAGGTACAAATGAGGGGCTATCGTTTTCACATTGGTGATACGGAGATAGTTTTTTTTAGGAGTACCCTCGATTCTGAGTTACCTGGCCTTACCCTGACCTAGTCTTCACCCGTGAGTGGAGCGGGAATTATTATCACAAGTACATATGGTGACCATGTACAAATGGTTACTCATGTTCAGATGGTGATTATACTCAAACGGTGACTATTGGTTCTAATGGTTATGCTCTGGATTTCTGTTGGTGACCGTATGGTTCTCAGATTTATTTTCTGAGTTCCTGATTTGTATATTTGGAGGTTCATTCGAGCCTTCAATCATGGTGTTCTCAACATGTTCAGAAAAGGCTCAATAATATCCAGTTCCAGAAGCCTTGATCCCGTACTGTTGATAACCCATATGGTACTTGGTTCTTGTATGTGCAGAAGCTATGTCGAACCTCTGATCTGGTAGTATTCATATGATTCAAAATAGTGCAATAATCATATTCAGAAACGATGGAACTTTGATCCCATGTCTTTGCATACTTAACATGGTTAACCACATGCTTAACATACATGTTCTGTTATTTTTAGAGAATCATATTTGTAAGTCTTGTGCTAAACTCTTGCACCCTTACTTGTGTAAAATCAAAATCAAAGCACGTAAATTCCTTGGAAATAATAAAACATGACATGGCATCCATTCATGCACCATATTCATGCATTCATAACAGGTATTCAAAGATCGGGGATTCTTATTCGAACCTGGTGTTCTCCTTAGAGGTTCAACTTGATTTCTTGCTTCACATGTTCAGAGATTAGTATGGGATAACTTTGTAGGGATTGGCTGATGCGAAGATCCCGATAGGGTTGATCATGGTATACATGCAAGATTTGAACCATGGCCTGGAATTCTTCGAGAAGGAAGATAATCGACTGAAGACTCAGGTGAGTCAGGTCATGGAATCGCTTTCAACCACGAAGTGCTACACAATCACGAGTTCTTGGAACATCTTATCAGCAAATGGTTCCTATTTACTATGGGATCTTATATCAGTGCTTCGTTCTTATTGACCAATGTCAGATGTGGTTACCACACCGGGGCATCCAACCATTCGATCAGGGACACTCTCCATAGCTTTGCGTTCCCTGATCTATTCGACAGCAACCAGCCTGTGTTCCCCTAGTGAATTCATTGGGCAAAGCTTTTAAGGAAAAACAGAAAAAGCCTGATGAGAATTATGATGTGAAACCCAAGACATTACATCCAATTATTTCCTTTCCCGGTGGGAGTTCAATTGGTAAAGCTCTGATCTTTGGAGTCCTCCTCCCACAAACATCTCTTCTGGTTACGATACACATGCTAGATGTATCCCCTATTCTGGGGCACCCGGTTTTGATATTGAAAACTGTAAAGTGGTTGAAGTATAAATCCCAACACATGTCTGGCATCTCTTTCAAAGGTCTAATTTCTATTCGTCCAACTGCCCGTATCTTTCTCACCAGCTGGATGTCTCTTCTATTCTAATAGAAGATGAACTGTATTATTTATTTATGGCATAAGATGTTTGGTGATGCAGTTTATGCCGATTCGCTTGGTAAATAATTCATTAGCTCTCCTAAAAGAAACTTGTATGCATATATTCTGGGGCACATGGCCATTTGATTGAAGATGGTATGTCATCCAGAGGCAAGGTCCAAGACATGATCAATCCAGAGACTGATGTGTTCACATCATATCAGAAGGAGAATTCTCTCGCCTATTCAAGCATCGAGATTGCAGAAAGTCATCAGAATAAAAAAATCCATA